AATTGTCGTTTTTACTGTATATATGATAGAACCAATTTGTTAATCAGGTATAAATAGAAGATTTGCTGCATTCCTATTTTTACTGGATTTGAACTATTGTGATTTGATTTCTTGGAAGCTTTGGTGTTGCTATTTGGAATAAAAAATCAGCAGAGCGTGACGCGGATGGCGGTGGTGGCGCGGCACGGAGGAGGAGAGTCGGCGAGGTGGTCGGTGGTGCAGGGGCTCCGCAGAGCGGCTCGGCATCGCGGTGGCGCGTCTCGGTCGCGACGGCAAGGTGGGTGGCGCGGTGGCTAGCTGTGGTGACTGCGCGGTGAAGCAGAGGAGGGAAGGCGAGCACGGTGGTCGTGTAACACCCCAGGCGTCACAAAAGCCCAAGATATTACTAACGTCCCTTCCCACATGCCCGAGCGTGAAAACTTGGCATCAAAACCCCTTTATCAAAGTAAAACGCAGAAGCAATGACAAGAACGAAACTATGATTAAGATAAATTTCATTGCTATGTTTTTTTTAAAACCATGAAGGATCTCCAAGAATGATAAACTAGTTTATTACAGCAAGCCGAAAACATCATTATTATCCCTAAATGTAGGTGAAATAGTGAAGATGTGCCGCTACTCCCATCCCTTCAAGCAAGCATCCAAATCAAGCATCTGGAAAGATAAGAGCGGTGAGAATAAATCTCAGCAAGCAAACTACTTGAACATGTCATTCAAACTATAGTTTAATTAGACATCAATTTAATCATAGAAGAATACATATCACTATCTATGCTATAAAAGAGCGAAGGAATTGAAAAATAGCTCTCACCTAAAGTTTCATACCCACCTTATTCGAGGACCCTTGGATGATTTATATCTTTAAATCTAACGGCAGATGTATGTAAAAAAGGTCTTACAATCATGTCTTATGTGTTCCTGCCACGTAAAACCACTCCGTCGCCCTCCCTCGCCATGTTTTTTACCAAATAGTTCTCCAACCCACTCGCCATACCCACGTCGCCCCTCCCGAGTCCTGACCACCCAGAATTGCTTTTCGCGGTTGTCCTATATTAAAGAATCAATAACAAAATTGGATTTTCCCTCACGTAATCCTCCTCTTCCTGTAGTCCTAAAATAAAAGCTCACGTATACCGGGCCTCGGCACGGACTCACGGATGCGCAGCGGGAAGATCAGGAAGTCCACCGCCTCCTTCCAGGCCTCCGCATACAGCACGTGCCATGAACGCGGCCGGCGGCCGGCGCCACCTTCACATCTGTAGCTGTCGACCTACCGTCGTGGACACCTTTAGCGCTCTGTCTGACACATTACAAGACTACAGCTTCATCTGCGGGTCCCCAGTGGCCGGCGCCGCCTTCACGCCTATAGCTGGTGACCTGCCGTTGTGGACACCTTCAGCTCTCTGTCTAACACATCAGAAGATTGACATGCAGGTATATAATTATTTATTTTTGTGTTGATATGAACTAATAAAGATTGATTACGATCTAATAAAGATTGATTAATATAATATGCGATGCATGTTTATAAAAATTATTCTGACCTCTCTTTCAACTACATGTTTCTAAAAAGTAATCTACTCTTTTTCGACTTGCATGTTGCAACTAAACTGACCTCTCTTTCAACTGTCTGTTTATAAAAAGTAGTCTATTTTCCTACTTGCAAGTTGCAACTAAATCTCAATTGCTTAAAATTTTGTCGCTTGACTCTATAACATATTTCCAGTTTATGCATTTAACTTTAATTTTTTGTTTCACCATTGCTTTAAAATTCCTTGATTGCAGTGCTCCATATTAACAATATAAACAAGACAACCTAAACCTTGTTATGGCTTTGACCATAAGACAAGATGGTAATCTGACCACAACATCAGATGGTAATGTTCAAGGTAGTATGTTATTTGGTTTTTAAAAAACAGTCTATTTGGATTATTTATTTCAAAATCAATTAACATTTTCGAATATTTGTTAGAAGATGAAGTCGGCTTGGAGAATAGAAATTCAATAAGATGTAAAAGGAAACGTGAAGCACAAGTTACTGATGTAATGTCTTGTGATAAAGATGTTGAAAGACAGGCTAGAAATCGAGAATATCAGTGTAACTATCGTGCACGGTTATGGGGTAAACAAAAAGAACACCCTGATCCTGTCCGGCCGACGGCCGTCCCTTCCACCTTCCATTCTTTTGACCCGCTTTCTGCGGCTCCCGTGTAATCGAGGGGAAGACTTGACTTTGGACGTTCGGGCACACGAAGATGCCGTCGCTATCGGTGATCCATATCGATCGACGATCGTCTCGAGGGGCAAGTCAGAAGTGACAAGCAGGACTTTGTGTACTGGCATGGACAAGCAGGCGATGAAAGCGCCAAGTGCAGTCTCGCCTCTGTCTGTCGCCGGAGATGAAAAAAGTACATGCTCTTGTATTCAGAGTTTCAGACCGATATATTTGGTCTTCTTGTTGGACCATATTTCTGTTGTTTCTTCTATTTTAGTTATATGCAGATGTTTGTCCCTTCGCAGCATCGGAATACGCCAACGAATTAACAAGAAGGCCTTTGTCTCGTTGGTTGGACCATTCATGGGCAATTGGGCATATCGACAAAAAGGAATGCGGACACAAATAGTAGGCGCCGTGTGTCTCGGGGATACACACGCAACAAAATTGCTCGCGTCATCGTCGCATCACCAGCGCCGGTGTTTGTCGGCGTGGTGGTAACTCCGTTGCACTTGGCATCGGCGGGGGAACGAGGGCGCTGCGACGGCGACCGGAACGAAGAATTACCGGTTGTCCTCGGCACAGAGCATGATTCGCAGCCGGCGAGAGTGGCGAATCAAGGTGCTCAATCGCCAACCAACACGGCGCGCGCGCGCACACACACATACATACATATATATATATATATATATATATATATATATATATATATATATATATATATATATATATATATATGGCCAAAACGCCCAAAGAAGAATATACAACCTGTTCGCTTGGTCGTGTTTTGCCGAGAAGCCGTATTTTTTCAGCCAGCGAATAGTTTTTTTCTCTCACGTCAAACCAGTCAACAGTACTTTCAGCCATAACTTATCAGCCAAACAAACCCAAACGAACAGGACGATAGTACACCGCCTGGCAGATAACGGGATAAGAATGACCGATGAAATCTGGCTTATTCAAAGATGGCAATCGTTGCTCTGGAAAATTTGTACTCTTTGCTGCATCGGCAACTCTAGGGCCGACACAGCGACACGTAAGCGGACTTAAAATGAACGCTCGGCCTCGTTGGTCACCGGACCGGTGACCGTGCAGTCTGCATGCTCGTTCGCCGTACGTACCGGTACCAGCCTTGGACCTCCGTGCATGGATGCGCAGCGCAGGGGCGGCCAGCTGGCTACGCCTACACCATCCTGTTCCTGTTCCTGTTCCTGTTCCTGTCCGGCCGACGGCCGTCCCTTCCATTCTTTTGACCCGCTTTCTGCGGCTCCCGTGTAATCGAGGGGAAGACTTGACTTTGGACGTTCGGGCACACGAAGATGCCGTCGCTATCGGTGATCCATATCGATCGACGATCGTCTCGTGGGGCAAGTCAGAAGTGACAAGCAGGACTTTGTGTACTGGCATGGACAAGCAGGCGATGACAGCGTCAAGCGCAGTCTCGCCTCTGTCTGTCGCCGGCGCATCGCCGCCGGTCGGAGGTCCTAATGTAAACTCTGAAGCAGTGTTTAAGACGCGAACTAGGGCAGACCGTACACTAGGGCCTAGGATGAACAAAACTTCCATCGTTTTTTTTAGGCGAATCTAACACGAGAGGTGCCGACTATATTAAAAAGGAGAAACAAAGGCTCCCTAGGGAGTCAAACCAACTGAATGGAGTGGTGCTCTTGTCCAGGCTCGTGTCCTGGCCTCGGTTGCTTCGCGTGAGCTTCCCAAGCTAGGAAAAAAAATGAGGAACATACCACTTGTTTCAGCAAAAGTGCGCGAAACTGTTGAACATGATGAGGGTGCAGTCAGCCGTCTCATTTTTAGCCACTGCCAGTGGCAAGGAACAAGCGTAGGCGTGGCACAACAAGAAACTGGGAGCTGCCCGTTGTCACGCCACGCCCTCGGCCAACGAGAGGCGCTGGTGTGGTGCCAATTGGAATCCATTCTCTTGCCTTCCAAGGCGTACCAATCTGGAAATTGCCATCCATGGGAATGTTTCCATAAAGTCTTGCATGCGAGCATATCCAAGAACTCCATCCATCCATCCAATCCAAGGGGGGAAAATGAGGGGAAAAAAAGGTCACTGTCGGGGCGAGTAGAAAATTTGGTTCAGCAGTCAGTCCTACTCCTTCAGAAAATACATATGCAGAGGACACTAGTTTTGTCAATTACTGTACTAGAGTCTTGACAATCTGAAGCGGCAAGACAACTTTCTGCCTTATGGGAGAAAGTCCGCATCAGGATTCGTCAGCGCAGGATTCAAAAAACTCAGAAAGAAACAAAGCTAGATTTGGATCGCCTAAATATTGCTGTCAGAAAATTTGCTCCGTAGTTACTTACTGAATTCTTTTTTTGAACTGAACCGCAACGCAAGATATGGAAGCTTTGTTGGTCCTTCAGAATATGAACTTTCTTTTGGTCAACAGGCAGTTTGGTAGTCTCAGAGACTCCAAAAACTCAAAAAATAATACCAAAACATCAATACCACATACGGAGGTATGAGTCTATGACTGTGAGTCTACCAGACATCAGTGCTGTACAAGATATCTCATTTCGACAAGAAGGAACACTGTACAACAGAAACGGATGCAAGTAGTACAAAAGCAGCACTCTAGTTGTGGTTGTGGAGTAGAGTACTAGTATCAGACTGTTATATTACTGTACTATTCTGTATCTGGACCCGTTTAGCACAGGACATGAAGGAACCCGAGCCGGTTACCAAAACAAGGGTTATACAATCGGCATGTTTCAGCGCAAAGAGGCTTTTTTTTTGTCTTCCCAGTTCCCACCTCCGTGTTCAGAGCTGAGGAAATACAGAAATACGTTTAGTAAGACGGCTGATCTTGAGAGATTCCAAGATAAGTAAAGACGAATGCATATTCCAAACCTTTGTGTCTACAACAACGACGCAAGCAGGCTTGGGGGTTATGGCGTTGACCTCCCCGCTGTCATGGTCTTCTTCCGCCGCCGCTGCCGGCAGCCGCGGTGGCGGGCCACCCTTTCCCGTGTCCATCGCGACCATGGGCAGGTAAACTGCCCAAACTTCCACCCTGTCCAGCGACGCCTCCGGCTCCGCCGCCGCCGTTGCCAGCGGTCGCGGTGGGCCACCCCTTTCCCTCATCAGGGAAAGGTAGACTGCCCAAACTCCAACCAAAAACATCAGGAAGAGAAGAAAACCTTTGACCGTGTCCGGCCACTCCGCCTCCGCTGCGGCCTCCTTCCGCGCGGCGACGTCGCCGGTCACGTAGAGCGTGTAGAGCACGATGCCTGCGAAGCCGAGCCACCGCAGCAATCCGACGGGCGCGCGCGCCGGCGCGCCGAGGGCCGTGGCCCGGCGCGCGAGGTTGGCCACGGTGCCGTGCGCCGGGGAGAGCAGCACCGCGGCGCAGCCGAGCAGCAGGATGGCGTGCAGGGCCAGCACGACATGCGCACGCGCTGCGACCGCGGGGAAGCCCATGATGAGCGCGGACGCCGCGGCGAGCGCCAAGACCGCCCCCGCCCGGCGTATGGCCGCCTCGCTCTGGGATTGGGACATTGCGATGCAGCAGCAGAGGCGGATAAGGAGGGGCAGCGCGGCGCGGACCGCGGAGGCAGAGTAAGTCGAGTGAGCGCCTACCAAAGAGCCGACGAACTCCCCTTGTCCTTCCCCCTCGGCCCTGGTACGTCGAGGAGAAGGCGAGGACAGCCTTATTTGAAGACGTGAGAATTTTGCATTTTAGCTCTTTTTGAAAACTTTATCACAAATAGATCCTTGTGGAAACCTTTTTTCTAAAAATAAACCTGAAGCTCGATGTCGTAGGGAGAAACATCAAGCTACGAGGCTGGACGCGAAGTCAGATGAACACCGACCCCTGCCACGTCGGATCTTCCCTCGCTGACAGATGCTACGTAGAATCCACGCTGACCCTCTTCTTTCTCACTCTAAGAGTAAGCACGATAACAAGCTGTAATTTAGCTAAATGTTATGTTAAGTGTAGAAGAGAGGAGAGGAGAGAGAAGAAGCGGGCTGTAAACTTACAGTCGGCTTAGGCACATGAACTAAGAAACTCTGTGAGAGAGATAAGTAGACCATATAATAATAGTGAAGGGCTAACTATTATATGGGTGGACTGGAAAAAGGCTGCAAGGAACCTCATTGTCGGATACCACAAGAAGGGGTACCCTAAGCAAGATCCAAAAATATCGCTTAAACCTTGTAAAAATCAAAGCTAAAAGGCCACCGCAAGGTCTCAGCAGAATTCTCCGATTCGTCCGAGGCCTTGCGCCGAGGCCTCATGCGAAAGGCCAAAAACGCCCCGCCGAGGCCCTCTCGTCGAGCCCTCGCCCCGAAAGGCCTCGGACGGAATGCCAATTCTCCGATTCGCTCGAGGCCGGGCTCGGCAAAAATACTCGTAACCTCCGTCCCGACCGAACTCCTCTGACAAAACGTCACGTCCGGATTAATGCGCCCAACCACTCTCACAAACGTCAGCCGCACGCGGGTACAGTACGGACAGGACAACCGACGGGACAGGGACCGGGCGCAGCAGGGGTTACCTGCCACTGTGCTCACCACTGTGCTCCCCACTGACACTTATACTGCCCTATGCTACCTAACCCCTGCGCCAAGGACAAAGCGACGTGGAAGGTCGAGTCCATGTCCCTGTAGTCTCGGAAACAGCAGGGGAGCCCAGCTGCTCGTTCTCTACCTCGTCCGAGACCCCCCGGCAGGGCCTCGGACGCGCCGTTCCTTCTCCGCCTCGGCCGAGGCCGGGCTCATCCCGCTTTCTCGTCGCCTCCGCCTCAACTGCCCCTCTGGCGGGCCGTCCCATCCGTGTAAATACCCCTGGTAACGCCTACGTCAGCCACGATTGGCAGGGTATGGCAACAGGGGCGATGGGAAGGCGGTCAAATCTCTTTTTTACCATTTCCTACTGACGGAGCAGGGACTATCGTGCCCTGCGGACACCCACTCCGCGCTTTTTTCACCCGAACCAAGTACGACGCAGACCGCCGAGGCCCCCGCCTCATACACAGGTCACCTCCAAGGCCTCGGCAAATCAGGCCTCGGCGCGGTTAGCTACAACCTGCCAGGCCTCGGCACCCCACCAAGTCAAAAATCCACAGAAGCATGGCATGTCACCTACAGTGGAGGCCATGCTGACTAGACGTCAACAAGGACTCCTATGACTTCAACAGCCTCGGGCATGGCCTGCACGACGCACCAGTGATCAAGTACCAGTTGCCATTTCCAACACTGTGCTGCTACAGGGATAGAGTACTAGATCTTCCTTCTAAGGCTCCATGTGTAGCTCTCTCATATACTCCTGGCTCCCTCCTTGTGGCTATAAAAGGAAGCAGCCAGGGCCGTTTCTATGGATCGAGACCACGCCGGCCCTCACGCGCAAACCCACTCACTCAATTCACGCACGCTCCCACGCTGCCCGAGAGCAACAACTCAAGCAGCCGGCACCACTCCACACCGAGACCTGGGACCAACCCCCTCTCTCATCCAGCTTATAACCCCCTACTGCAAGCGCTTCGGTGCAAGGAATACAAGATCGATCTCTCCGACTGGACGTAGGGCACCGATTGCCTGAACTAGTATAAACCTTGTGTCTCTTTACATCACCATCCGGGATTAGGGGCACGCAGTTCATATTTACTGGTTGGTTGAGGACCCCCCGGTCCGAAACACCGACACTCATAGTCAACATCTGACTGTAATTATTATCCTTGCTCTAATTCACTTGTTCATGATCCCACAACCTCTTCTCTCTCCTCTCATCTTGGCGAATTCTTAGCCCTCAAATTTGTTGTATTTGATGCATTATTTGTGTTGGCATTAAATCACACTTCCTTTTGACTCTAAGGGCCTGTTCGCTTCTCTTATAATCCGTCTTTTTAACTTATTTTTTCAGCCGGAACAGTGTTTTTTTCTCACAACAAATTAGTCGGAACTGTGTTTCGGCTTGTTTTTTTTTCAACCGAAGCGAACGGGGCCTAAATCCATTTGAAGTTAGGCATGTGCGTTGTTCTTTTTTTTGGTGCTCTATGGTTAAATTTGAAACTTAGGTTTGCAACTATGATTGAAATGGCATTTCATTGTTTAATTAATTTTAGGCTTGATAATACCAGTTTTTCTGACCTGTATACTCCATCCATTCCAGAAAGTAAGACGTTATGGGATGCGTGTAGTTCAAACTTTCACAACTTTGATTAGATTTGTAGACAATACGTTTATATTTCTAAATAAGTTTATTATGAAAGTAAATTCAACGATCTATCTAATTATACTAATTATATATTATAAATATTAATATTTTTTTATATATAATTAGTCAAAGTTAAAAAAAATATCGACTTCTCGGAAAGTGAGAACATCTTCTATTTTAGGATAGAGGGAGTATCCTTTTTCATATTTTCTTGGCCTGTTCACTATTTAGGGCTAGGTGTTAGAGTGCTGCAGTGCCATGAAAATAATTCTATTTATAGGTAGTAGTTAATATTAGTTTTTGTTTTTGTTTTTGAAGATGCACAACTCTGAATCTCCAAGAGTTCCAACAATTTGATGTTGAGAAAGTTTGATCAACATGATTTTCGTAGCAACTTTTTTTTTACACATCTCCTATATCTCAAACGCTTTGAGATCAACTTTTTTTCCTCCCACGCCGCGCCCGCTCGGCGTCGCGCCCGTGCCCTGCTCCCACGTGTTCTAGCGGCGGCGGCGGCTCCTCCTCGGTCACCTCCAGCAAGACGGTCGGAGGGATCTTGATCAATCTGGTTAATTTTTTTTTCCAAATTTCAGGCGCCTAGATTATAGCAATTCCCTTTTTTTTAAACGGAGGGAGCACTGGTTAGGTGGAAAATTAAGGGAGGGGAAAGCGCAAACATGACAGATAAACCATAAAATCAAGGCGCCCATCCCCAACCACATACGGAGTATCAGATGCCCTGTGTGAGTGAGTTTTTCCAGGGAGTTCAATGTTCCGATGCCACTTGGACGGCTGACCCGCGGACAGACACGGCAGCACGGAAAATGACTGCAGCGATGCAGAGTCTCTCTGGCCACACTACCACGTGTTTGGTCGGTGAAGATGTCCCGGTTCCAGTTGGATGGAGCACTGCCGGCTGCAGAGAACAGGAAAACAGAGTAGCCGTATCGGGCCCCCGAAGGCCGAACGGAGTGGTTGCACTCGGTTGCTTCGCGTGGAAACTTCCCAAGCAAGGAAAGACGGGGAGGAAACCCTCAACAAAAGCGTTGGTACTTGGTAGGGACTTTCATATTTTCTTTTTTTGTGAATAGTAGGGTCTTTCATTTTTACCTCGGTATATATGTAAACGTGAACAAGACGAGGGTGACGAGCTCGTACAACAGTTTCCAAACGCGAGGAAGAAGGTGCACTGCTCGCACCCGCATTCACTCGCCATTTGGGCATTCGGCAATCAGACCCTAGGAGCTGAATTGCTGAAAAGAGCATGCACCAGCATGGCGACACGACTGCTAAAGTGCATGTTCCAAAAATGACCTGTAGGTGTAGGTAACCCGTCCACGCTACCTCTGGCCAGCAATTTCATCAATCAAACCTACAGCCTTTGGACATTTAGACTGAAAATTGTGCAGATAGAGCCTCGGCCCTTAGGCGGATGTTTTTTACTTTTTTTTTAAGCTCAGTCAGATTTGGTCATTATTTTTTACTTTTTTTTCGCTCAGCAGAGTTTTTTTCGCTCAGCAGACTGCTCGGCTGCTCAGTCAGATTTGGTCATTAATTTTTTACTTTTTTTTTTGAGCTCAGCAGACTGCTGGCTGCTCAGTCAGATTTGGTGAGACACCAGCTTATGCCACATTCAACAGCAACTCGAGATTCAGTTTTCCAATCAACGCGACCTTTGAGGCTTTTCACGATGTGTGGACGATGCACGTAGGGTGTCCACAACCTGATTCGACGTTGAGCCTGTTCGTCGATCGTTTTCTGGGCTGCTAAGCTCGGCTGATGCTGATTTGTTGTGAGAGAAAAATATTGTTGGCTGGCTGATAAGTCCTGACTAAAACCAACAAACGAACAATCTAGTTGACAGGGCATGTCAATTATCATGTGTTTAGTATAGTGCTAATAAGTTAGGGCTTGTTCGGCTGGTATTAAAGCTAGTTGATAAGCTGGCTGAAGCTGTTTTGTGGTGAGAGAAAAATACTGTAAGCTGATAAGTCGGCTGATAAGTTCAAGCGAACAGGCCATTAGTAGCTAGCTAATTAGTAGAGATTATTTAGATTGATCTTCTAGTTGGTTGGAGGGGTACAAACTATTAGCACCTCTTCATCAATTAATGAACTATTCCCACGTCATGAAATAAAAAGTATCCGAGTGTTCAAAATTTATCACAAATTATACGGAAATGCTAAAATGAAAACGCGCAGGATATGAGGCTACAGCCCACACACCCGCCTGCTGCACACACCCCACTTGCTCGGCACCTGCA